TTTCTTTTCCTCCAAGTTTACTTGGAGGCTACTCTTTATTTTGCCTATAAATTTGAACCCATCCTCTAAACTTGTTTCTATTCTTCTTCTTGGTCCATCCATATCTCTCTCATATTATTCTCTCTAAAATTATAGAAATTAGAGTTTAGATTAAGAGTGTTTAGAGTGAGAGTTAGCATTTTATTCAAGAGGAGAATTGTAGATTTTGTTAAACTTTACATACCTTTTCGATCCACAACCTTTGGAGATTTATGGTGATATAGCAGATATCGGTGTAGGAGGGATTTTGCATCAAGTGGTCATGGAATTGTTTTGAGATAATTCGGGTGGTATACAATATGCTTCCTCTAAATCTCTTTACAAAAGAGTTTTTATCTTAATTACTTCACATTTGTACTCCTCTTAATTATCATGGTCGTATGTAAAATTCTATGGAATCATTCTTGTTGATGCATTTGATTAATCTAGTCATTTGATAAATTCTGTGAAGTTGTTCTATGTAGTTAGTGTTGATTTGTCTAGCTAAATGATGTGGAAATGCTCCGTACATGGATCGAGTGGACTTTGCTAATAGCTTGAACCAATAGCCCGGATAAGCAATTGTGCTTAGGTAAGGTGGGTGAGGCCGGTCACTGGTCATGTGCTGAGTGGGACCGAGTATTTGTCCTCAATAAATTATCATATGTCGAGTTGACTTTTTTGTACAGTTTGGTAAATTGCTTGGTGTCTCGAATTGAAACATTTTTGCCATGTCGTACATTGTTGGATCCATGTTGATTTATTGTCTATCAGAGCATTGTTATTCCTATCATATCGTATACTTCCCGAATTACTTTATTTTTCAGGTGTGGAGCGAATCTAGTGGCGATTGCAGTTGAAACATTTAGAGAATTATTGAGTTAGAGATTTTTGGGCCCACCACTATATATTGTTTTTGGAGTATTGTATAAATTATAAATTATAGACATTTGTGTAATTACTTTTTAGCCAATTTGTATTTTTGAGGTTATTAATTAGTTAGAATTTTAAATTTGGGGTTGATTTATTTATTAACGGCCCGGAAGTTGAGGCATTACATGATGTGTGAGTTATTATATACATATGTGAAAAGTTTTTGTTTCACGCCATATATGCAGAAGCTCATTGGGCAATCTTTGCATGTTGCTTCCACTTTTGGCCCCTCATATTAAATATGTTTTGATTTCTATCTGAGGTTGTAGGTAATCTCATGATTACTAGCTAGTTATGATCTTAATCCACAGGGGTGGGTTCGGGTCATGACAAAGTGATATTAGAGTACGTGTAACAACTCACACACTTGTCCAAGTGAGCAATAGAGTGTCTAGAAAAGACTTAAGTTGCATTCATGTGATAAATATCTGCTTGAATGCATTAAGAATATGTTAAAGTGTTATGAACTATGTGACTACATGACACATGAACTGTTACCTATTTGTATATGCATGCTCCATCTGTCTATGTATGTTGTGTACATGGTTTTTGTATGAAATATAATGCATGTCTCATCAGATAATGGTAACAACAAAAGCCGAGGAGATAGAGGAATCCCCTACTACCAGACTTGATAAAATGGAAAGGTTGATACAGGACATGGCTGAAACATTAAGGCAACAACAACAATGGCAACAACAGTAGTAACAGCCACCACCCCACCTCCAGTACAGCCTGTGCAAAATTTGCAAATGATGGCTGAACAATAGCTCTTACCAAGGAGTTTAAGAAGATGAAACAACCGACATTCCACGAGGGAGTGGATCCATTAAAGGCAAAGGCTTGGGTCCTTGTCATAGAAAAGCTATTTGAAGTATTTCCATGCCTCAAAGCACAAAAAGTACGGTTGGCAACATTTACACTTGAAGACGAAGCAAGGAGGTAATGGATGTTAATCCGTGAGAACAACAAAGGTATTGATTGGGCATGGTTTTGGGAGATCTTCTACGACAAATACTTTTTGCAATGTACCTGTGATAGAAAAGTGGCCGAATTTGAGGGGCTTAAACAAGGCAATCTGACTGTGGCAAAATACGAGGCAAAGTTTACAAAATTGACCAAGTTCACACCCCATATGGTCGACATCGACAATAAAAAGGCAAGAAAATTTGAGTGTGGTCTCCGCAATGATATTCAAGAAAGAGTGAATTTATTAAACTTGCCTACCTATGTTGATGTATTAGATCAGACTTTAATGCCCGAAACTAACATGGCCAATCGGAGTAAACAACGAACTGACTGGAAAAGTAAGAGACATGGCTTCTTCTCAAAGAAGGGGTCATCGAAAAAGCAGAATACAGGATCCTCAACCACTTCGAGCTCCTCTAGAGATGCGGCACCAACATGAAACCAGAGTGGTAAGAAACGTCATGGGGTTTGTTGCCGTTTCTCCCGGGCTTGCTTCGAATGTGGTAAAATGGGACATATGGCAAGGGATTTTACCCAAACTGAGCTACGAAGAACTAGGAAACCGGCTTCTAGTTCGACCGGATCCATTCCAAAACCGGGGAATACCACGATGTCTGCTACTACCCAAGACACAATGAAACAACGGAGTGCCTTTGCACTTGTCCCAGGTGACACGCAAAACACAGAAGACATTGTGTCAAGTACTATCTCTATATGTACTCAAGAAGCTTTTGTGTTAATTGATTTTGGATCAACACATTCTTTTGTGTCTACTACATTTGAATCTAGATTGAATAGACCAAAAGAATCATTACCATATCTATTGTGTGTGTCTGCTCCATTAGGGGAATCTATGCTATGTACATTTGTGTATCATATTTGTGATATGCTTGTTTGCGGTGCTACTTTATAAGTAGATTTCTTACCCTTGGACATTAAACACTTTGATATATTTCTGGGTATGGATTGGTTGTCTAAATACTGTGGCACCATTGACTGTGTAACAAAACAAGTTATGTTTAGGTTGCTAGGACATGATGAATTTGAATTTGTTAGTAATGGTGTAGTGCCTCCACCTTATCTAATTTTAGTAATGAAAGCATGCAAAATGCTTAGGAAGGGGTGATAGGGTTACTTGTGTAGTATCTTGACTAAGCAATCTATGAATGGTGAAATGGATAGTATTCCTGTTGTTAGAGAATTTTCGGATGTATTTCCTGATGAACTTCCAATTGATTGACAGAGAAATAGAGTTTACTGATGTTGGAACAGACACCAAACCCATCTCAAAAACTCCATACATAATGTCTACTGTTGAAATGAAAGAATTAAAAGGACAATTACAAGATTTGCTTGAAAAAGGGTTTATCTGACCAAGCACTTCGCCATGGGGGGCACCGATTTTATTTGTAAAGAAAAAAAAATAGGACTTTATGTCTGTGGATTGACTACCGGGAATTGAAGAAGGTAATGATAAAAAATAAATACCTTTTGCCTCGTATTGACGATTTGTTTGATCAGTTGCAGGGATCACAAATATTTTCAATAAATGATTTGAGATTCGAGCACCACCAGTTGAAGGTGAAAGCAGAAGATGTTGAGAAAACCGCATTCAAAATAAGGTACGAACATTATGAATTCCTGATTATGCCATTTCGGGTGACTAGTGCACCTACAGTGTTTATGGATCTTATGAACCGAATTTTTAAATCCTACCTTGATGAGTTTGTTGTGGTTTTCATTGATGATATTCTAATATATTAAAAGAGTATAATTGAACATAAACATTTGAGAACTATCTTTGCAAACACTTAGTGAAAAGAAATTATCTGCTAAACTAAAGTAATGTGAATTTTGGTTAGATGAGGTTGTCTTCTTAGGGCATGTCATCAACGGAGATGGGATTTCTGTCGGCCCGTAGAAGATAGAGGCAATTGTGAACTGGCCTACACCGACAAATGTAATGGAAGTCCGCAATTTCATGGGCTTAGCTGGGTATCACAAACGGTTTGTGAAAGACTTCTCTAAGATAGTTGTACTACTCACCCAATTTACACGCAAGGGGAAACCTTTTGAATGAAATGGTGAAAGGGAATTTGTTTTCCAAGAATTGTAGACAAGATTGACTACTGTACCAGTTTTGACATTGCCTTTAGGTAAGGAAAATTTTATGACATTTAATGATGCTTCTTACAATGGTTTGGATTGTGTTAATGTAGAACCGGGATGGTAATTTCTTATGCCTCCAAACAATTGAGACCACATGCAGAACGGAAAGGGTAATCTCTTTTGCCTCCAGGACCTTTGTTGCCTCTAGATTTACTCATGTCGTTCCACCTGTCTTTACTCTTGCTTCTTCCTCTGCCTCTTCCTTCACCTCTATCTCTGCCTCTATCTTCTGTGATAAGAGCGTGGGATTGATTATCTCCCATGTCTTTCCTTCTTGTCTCTTCATTGTACAAGGTGTCCGTGACCATGCTCATGGTCAGCTTCCCTTCTGGTGTAGAGTTACTAAGAGAAACCACCAACATCTCCCAGCCATCTGGTAAAGAACTGAGCAGTAGTACAGCTTGCATTTCATCATCCAAGGACATCTTAACAGTTGCAAGCTAATTCACCTGATTTTTTAATTCACTGGTGTGCTCGGCGACAGACACACCATTCTTCAACTACAGATTTACAAGCTTTTTCATCACCAAGGCTTTGTTCTGGGCGGTCCTTGACTGGTACATGTCTTCTAACATTTTCCAAAGAACATAGGCATCTGTCTCTTGGGCGACATGGTGAAACACATTGTGGTCTATCCACTGTCTAATGTAACCGACAGTCTTTCAGTTCATCTTTATCCAGTTTTCATCCTTCTCTACTTTCGGTGTAATCTCTTTTAGAAAAATAGGGTCAAACAGGTCTTTATAATATAGGATGTCTTCCATCCGCGACTTCCAGATTGCATAATTTGAAGGATTCGACTTGATCATGGTTCCTGCAGTTGATGTGGATTCCTCCATCGTCTTTTTTCTTTTTACAGAAAAATCCAAACTAAAAATCTGACTGTACAAATGTCTCCAGAATACTCCATATAGTTGAAAATCACTATGTGATTGCCAAAATCAGACTTCAAATGGCTTAGATCTAGCGAAAATAAGTTTGATGGTTCAAATCTACGGATGTACCTTAGCCTCGTAGCACTAGATAGTCCCTCTGATTCTGGGTCAGGTCGGTTCGGCACGATGGGTTGATTGGTCAATTAGGGGATGACATGGTAGACATGTGGCATTGATTGCCTGACGTGGCAGCAACGTGGCAGTGACGTGTCAATGATGTGGTGCTGATGTGGCGCTAACGTGGAAAACACGTGGCACTGGCCACTCGCCTTCTTTCTTCCGCCGCGCGTCAGGCGCTTGTCTACGACTGACATCACGCGCCAGCACAATCAACGGCGCGTGAAGTGCATGAGTGAGAGTGGGCCTCACGTGCTTTCTTTAGATGGCACGTGAGGGTGCGTGGAGCCTCCTCTTGGGCTCTGCTATGCAGTTCTAGACTCATCTCGTCGAGAGCTTCCTCCTGGTATCCTTAAAAGTGAATTTTGAGGAACTTCACTGTTGGCAGTTTTGAAAATCACACTCTGTTTTTCTGAAAAATGACCAACTCGGTTCTGATACCACTTGTGAGGATTAAGACACACTAGAAATCAATCACACAAGAGATTTATGTATTTATACACCGCACTCACTTCTTTTTTTTGCACCACACTCACTTTTTCTCCATTTTCCTTGGTTGTTATGTATTTATACACCAAGACGGAGGAAACTACAGAGCTTGGCTGGCAAAGCACATGGCCAACTGTTCACTCACCTTTCGTTGGCCGTCCACCTTTGCGCTGGCATAGCACATGGCCAACTTGACTTCACTTGGGAGATCCACTTGGGCTGGAGCTAACAATCAATGCCAAAGACTTCAATTTCTTTAAGGGAAGACCTCACATAGCTTTGCCGCCTTTGTGGATCAAACCACTTAAATTGCTTTGAAGATTTAAAGCTATCATAAAGTGTTATCTACAAACTGGAAAAGGGAATATACGAAATTTGCAAATCATCGATTAGGAATGGTTATTTTAAATTTTGACTCACCTTCTCGAAGTGAAAAGTGCCCAATTTAGGCACACTATTCAATAAGTCTGACAAATTCATGCTGCCAAAGTTATTGCAAGCATCCAATTCCAAATAGGTCAAATTAGGAAACACAGGCCAATATTTTTCATTAGCAAAGCCGAAAGCCTTCATCAGAGATCATAAATGATAAAAATATTCAAATATATAAAACAAAAATGATGCTAGATAAAGTTCATAAATGATATAGCATTAGCATATGATAATCTACATCTTCACTTCTTATTAAAGTGATGAAAAGGAAGAGTAAACTTACTGTCATAGTGCTAGCCTTTAGATGTAGATGCTTAATATTAGAAATTGATTTCAAAAGCACAAATACTTGGTTCACATGTGTCATGGCTGCGAGAGCATGCTGGATAAGGGGCTTCAACACAAACACTTGCTTTAACTAATGAGGATAGGATATTCAGACAATAGCAAACCAAGCAATAATCTTTGACTTGAAGGCTTTCAAGAATTGGTGTATCAACCACGACCATAGTGTTATTGTTTCCTAATTGCTTTGTAGATATGTGTATGAAGTCTATTTTCCCAGAACCCATCTCTGCAGAAATAGTTAATTCTTTGAACACATGGCAGAAAGAAAAGAGCTTCTAGGTCGAGTCATTGCTCAAAAAAATAAGTGAAACATGAAAGATCGTGAGACGAGGGAAATAAATGGAGTTAGGAACATCAAACATGGATCTGCAAACATTGATATCAATTTCATGTACACGACGTCTTCTAGCAACAGATATACGTGCATTCAAATGGGATTCATCAAATTTTGGATTACATCTTCAACAGAATCATTGGATACTTGGCAAATCATGAAAGAGGAGTACTCTGTCAATGAAATTCCTGAAGATGACATCAGGTTGATGGGTAGCAAACTGAGAAAACATTGTCCATGCATCAAATTCTAGATTGGAGACGAAAGCCATGAAATGTGCAGTGCCTGGATAGAAAAAGTCCGTAAAAAAATTTGTTCTAATAAGCAGTGGATTGTAATAGCTCAGGTCGAGACCCGGACCTTTTTCTTTTTCATATAAAGATGGTTGCATTAAAAAGATTTTTCCGTCAAAATTGGACTTTGTCTAAAAATTTTCCAAGTGTGAAAGTTGAATTTTTAAAAACACACAATTTGGAAAATAATTTTTTTTTTCCAGTAATTGTTCCTTATATATTAAATAGTCTAATTTGATTTTATGAGGATTTTTGTACGAAGTACTTTCCACTTTACTTCAACATCGAACTTAATAATTGCAGTCAAAAAATTAATTTTGTA